GAAGCGAGGTAATTGTATAAATTGGTAAAAATCCACATATAGCGAAAAGCCTTTTGGTGTGCTAAAAACCTATTTTGTTAAGAAAAACCATTTCCGTAAGAGCCATATATCATAGAATTCTGTTATTTTATTTGCAAGTCTTATGACATATCATTGTTTGCTAATACTTCTGTCTATTGTATTACTGTATTATTTAGACATCTGCTTGTCAAACAGTGCTTTAGATTCTTTTTTTTTTTCATCGTCCAATAATTATTTTCAAATTTAATACGAGGTAGATTGATTCGAGGAGGTATTTGATACACATCTCACAAAATTCATTTACATATATTTTCCATTTAACCGTTTAGTTTAATATTTGCATAAATTATTTGTCATAAAACTTAGCATAAATCAATTCGATTTGATATCCCCTCATTTACATATTCGCTTACTTAAGTAGTCCTTCTTGTGATAATTTAATTTGAAAGTGGACACATAACGCTGGTTTTTTGCTATATTAAACTTATGTTAAGTTCTTAATTTGCTCGTAAAAAATGTCATTATGCAAATAATTTCATGCTAACAAATACTCTCGTTCTGCCGTAATAAGTAAACTTTACAAATCGCGTAGCCAATCAGGCAGCAAGGTTAATTAGTTTTTTGTTAGTGGAATTTATTAACATCCTATAAATAAACGATATTTCTTGGAAAACATAAAAAATTAACTAGTCGAAGACATATGGATCTTTGGTTATGTCAGTCATATATTATATTTTATTTAAATACAGAGTGTAGAAGAGCGAAGATTTTCACCACGCATTTGACTATTCGAAAGCACAACTTTTTTCCAATAGTTTTTTTCGGAAACCTCTTATTTCTTAAGATAATAAAATTTTTGTAAATTTTATATTTTTTTACGTGCCACTGGTGCAAAAAATTTTAAAATTGCGAATAAGTCATAAAATGTTGGCAAACCTAGCTTTGGTATTATTTTAATCTACAGACAGCTCGTTAGGGTTGTTTTAATTTAAGCTGCCATTTTTTTAAAGACATTTTTGGGAAAATTATTAATTTTTTTAAATCTAGTCACATAGCCTTAAGTAGTACCACTTAAAACATCAGTATCTCAAGCTTCTTCTAGTTATAATGCAGAATATTTATTTTATAAGACCAACAAAATTTGACATAAATTGAAACAGAAACATACTATTTCACTTTAAAAATTTAGGAGGTATTGAAAATGAAAAAGATGGAAAGATATACATCTCAATATACATATCATATACATGTCAATTACAGACATTGGAAATAATAGAGTCTGCATATGTCATATTCACAAATTTAGGCAAGATCTAGTATTTTCACATTTTAGGTCTTCACAGAAAATTAAATAATAATAAATTCAATTTCGAAATTCGTATAAAAAGAGTTTTAAAATCTCTAAAAGTAATTTTTTTAAAAATTGCTTCTTAGAAAATCTTAAGAAGCAAGTACCTACATCTATTACATATAATAAACAATGTATCCTTGTTTTTAATTGGCCACCCCGTATTTAAAATTATATATGGGCATAAACTTACATAGCATAGTGAATATAGAGCATAATTTTTTTAAACATGTTGCGTCAGTTCTTAAAAATTTTCTTCTCTCACGTGGCAATTCTGTCGCTATATCGGCAGCACCAACAACAGCCAAGGGTAGTGACTTGTCACCTGAATTTAAGTACGATAAACAGGAAGGCAAATATCTCACTCTTGCTTATTTTTTATGCAATTTAAGAGAATATATATCTACATTACCTCTTGTAAATACAAAGAAACAAATGAATACAGTTTCCGTAAAGTAATTCTCGACCTGGTATTAATTACAAAAAAACCTATTTATTTGCCATAAATTTAATTAACAACTGTTTACATTGAAATCTGTCAGCGTCCCACATTATTCCACTTAATATCTGCCTCCGCTAATTAAAAATTACATAAAAAATCTAATAATAAAATCTAGAAGGCTGGGAGCATAATTCCAATGCAGGACTAGCTATGATAATAAAAATATAATGAACCAGAATCTAGCAAGTCGGTGTACGGACTCGAGAGTTCTAGAGATCTTCAGGGCAGCATCACTAAGCCGGTTAGCCTTGGAGAGCGGCCAAAGACCGAAAGAGAAGAAGAAATAATTCTGATATCAGGGGCGTACCCTGAAGAACGGAGGCGAGGGCTACTTCCTTTAGATTTCAATTACATGTTACATTGTAAATTGTTCTATTGTACTTAAAATAGAACAATATATAATTCGTACAATAACTGAAACATTTCTTCGACATAACCATATTATTTGTAGGTATAAAGTCAATGATACATCAGTATTAATGTCATAAATCTTTCTTTACCTAATTCTGTAAATGCTTGATAGTTATACCAAACTGGTTTCTTTTGGGTAAATTGAAGAGAAAGGAGGATCTTTTTAAAAGTACAATATGCAGGATGTCCGGGAGAGGCTGGGCCATGCCTCAATATAGATCAAGTTACCTTAGTACAAATTTGCTTCCTTATAAAGTTATCACCTTTAAAGAAACGTTTTCATTTCATTAATTCTTTTAAAGGTAACTCTATCACCTTTAGAGATATTTCAATGAACTGGATTTTTCCTAATCACAAGTTATTTTTTGTTTCTTGAATTCTTTTATATTTATATTATTTTAGTTGATTGGATTTCTGTTTTTTGTTTGTTGACTTCAGGTACATTTGCTTTACTCACTTTTTGTTCAAAATTTTGTCGAAATAAGTAATATTTGTGGCTTCTTTTTGGCGATTTTAAGTTTTAAATTTGTTTATTGTGGATCTGAGTAAATTATAGTTTCCAGCTGCTTCATTTATTACACAGTTGTCTGAACAAACTCAATTTGTTTGACTTTGAAGTTCACAGACCTCTTAGGTTTACATTTCCTTAGTGAATGATATTTTTTGTCTTTCAAAGGTAATGCAGTTGAACCACCATATTCAATATAAACACTATGTGTGTGTTTTACAATTACTACATTTGGGTTACAAATTCCAAATGTAACTGGCCTTCATCTGATCAGATAATACATAAATTGTATATTTAAGTGTATGAGCATACGTTTAAAGTTCTTTTGAACACTCTGCCTATTTGTATTTTCATACGTTTGGTATATTTTTATTTAGTTTATCAGTATCTAACTATTTCCAAGAGGGACCTTAAGATACTTTGAGAAATTTGCTGCCTACTCCACTGGTAGAGCTCTGTTAAACGCACCTGTTCTAGAGAGAGGTAGACGAATACCTGACTCACATTGGAGTCGCAAGAGAGAAAGAGACAGTACCCGATATCGAGGAACATGTTACATATTTTAATTAATCTCGATATGAATCATAAATCTTACTTTGGATTGATACAGTGCGAAGATAAATTGGAAGTTCTATTTTTAAATCCAAAATACCCTCCTCGTTTATTATTAAATATACTTAAATCGATAACAGATTTGTATTTTTTATACAGTGTTTGCGTAGAACAAAAATTGTTTTCATTTTTATTCCCGTTCAGAGTAATTTGGCTCTTGGAACTGGTTGGATGAGGAATTTTAGGCCTTAACCCGGAACGAATTAGTATCGAAGGAAAATTGCTTCATTAAATACATAAAAAACAGGTCTGTGTGGAGAAGAAATAGAATTAATGTTGTATGTCCATTAATTTTATATAAAAGCAAAGCAACATATTTGAGACGGCGGGAGTGATGTCTATGAGAAATTTTTAAACAGTATTTAAGTGATTTATATTTTTCCATTACATTGGATATGACAAAGAAAGGATATTATTATTGTGAAGTCAGTTTGGTAATTGTTTTTTACCTTATCTTTACATTTTATTGCTTTTTTCACACGCAGGAGAAAGTATCATGAGAATATAATATCTTTTAATTAGTGCTATTGTGGGAACCACTACTCAGCGGACTAATGCTCCGACTAGCTTTAGATTACACAATATCAAGATCATCTGTCAACAGAACCGCCAGACATATACAGCTTTTGAATTTATTAGTTATCACCATTGAGACGACAACCTCTAATCCAGCTATTTTGATGTCTATGGTGTGAGTATGGGTGAGATTAACATGCAAGGAATGTCTTAAATGGTCTCTGCATATTTGGCCCTACTGTTTAGGTCTAAACATCGAGTAGCAGTGTGCGTTATATCTCACCTATCTTCACACCATGTTTGTAGATAAACGTCAAAATAGCGAGATGAATACTACTAAGTTTGAAACCGGTATCTGTTTGGTGGTTTTGCTGACGAATAATTTAAGCTGCGCTGGTGTAATTCAGTGCTGGTCGAGGTATTAGTCCTCAAAGTAGTGGTTCTCACAATATCATTAATTAAAAACATCGTTTTGGCTAACGCGGCACTGGTTTGGCTTTAGTGGCACCTGCGAAATAGCAGGTCGCTCTCTGCCAGTTAGGCCGAATTAAATACCTAGTCATTGAGGAACAGTGACCATATAAGATGTAACACACGTTGCATGTCGTGTTTCACTCATAGTTGATCCAACTGCAATACTTGTTTGGAAAATTGGAAAAAATGTAGTTTTCGATAAATCTTCCACATTTGTAATCAGATTTATTTGTGCTATCATTTCTTTCCTATGTAATGTGTAAAATGGGAAGAAACGCATTAGCTACAATTTAAATATTGCTAATAAGCTGTACCTGTTATAGCGAAACTGTTTAGGTAAATAAAACTTACTAAAATGTTTCTTGTATTTCGATACTTATTACTACACTTTTGGAAATGTGAAAAATGCGCAGTGGTGGTAATTTGCTATAATTATACAATTCAATTTTGTGTGTGAATCATGTATAGCTTTCTTTGTAGTTTAAATGAAAACATTTCGTTCTTAAATTATTTTTTAAAAAACTATGCCTCAGGAGTACATACCCGGCCTTTGTATTTGACTAATTGTCCATCATATTGGTTAATACAAATTTTTCTTTTTGTTCCAGATACATCCATAGTAAGGAGAAACCCTTCAAATGTGCAGAATGCGGAAAGGGCTTCTGCCAGTCTCGTACCCTTGCCGTCCACAAAATTCTCCACATGGAAGAATCACCTCACAAGTGCCCCGTGTGCAGTCGCTCCTTCAACCAGCGTTCAAACCTGAAGACACATCTTCTCACCCACACCGACCACAAACCTTACGAATGCAACTCTTGCGGTAAGGTTTTCAGACGGAACTGCGACCTCAGGCGGCACGCCTTAACCCATGCTGTTGGCGACGTCCCAGCTGATGGTCTGGGAGACGGATTCATACCTGGAAGTGACATGGAACGAGAGAGGATGTCACCTAGGCCAAGAAGTCCCTCTGTCGATTCCAGGGACGACAGAGACGTTCGAGTTTGCTCGCCTGCTCCAGGAATAACTCAATGCCACGAACCTTGTTCTTCGTCTAGCCCGTACACTATGAGACCTCCTCTTGACAGGCACGATTATCGTCACGACATAGACGATGAAGAGGATTTAGAGGAAGATCCAGAGATCGATCCGGGTCAGGAAGATTGCCCCGACGTTGTAAATGATTCAGAAGAAGTAGCTCCTGAACCACAACCGGTTCAGATGCCTCAGCTCCAGATAAGAAGAGACTTACATCCTCCACATCAACAAAAACCATTTATCGTTAAAAGCGAAAGCGTGGAACCGACCTTTTTGGGACCTTTCCGTAAACGAGCGTTGGACCAAGAACGACCCTCATCGTCGTATAATACAGGTAGATCTCATACGCCACCGATGAACTTAAGGATGTACCATCCCCCGACAACTATGCCGCCGCAGAACTTGAGTATGAGCCACACGTTATCTATAGGTCCAGGGACGTTTTTAAAGCCACCTGATACTGGTACGTCCATGATTTTTGGTCCTGCTATTCCTGGACCTTCTAAGGCTGGAACCAGTTGTAGCAATGTAGCTAGTGATTTGAGTATGAAGAAGAACGAAGAGCAACCAGTGAGACCGCCGCCACAACCGCCAAGGCCACCTAAGAAGACTGGATTTACTATAGCGGATATTATGGGGAGATAATACCGTGAATGCTCGGTGATAGTGTATTTGTGTGAAGGAACTACGAGTACTGTAACTATTACCAATGTTACTAAAAATGTTTCCTGATGTGTCTAAAATATTTATTTTTTATGGCAAGTTGCGCTGTGTTAAAACGTTTGATACAAGGATGAAAACTGGTGCTTGCTGTTGTGTAATTGGTTAAAATGTGTGTATTTAATTAATGTTACTTATTTTATTGCATAAGTATTTAAAGTCTACTTTTGAACTGAAGAGAGACAGTAATAATGTACTGGCATTGTCATATTATTTTAAATTACCAATATTTTTAATATATTCCTCATTTTGATCAAAACAGATTAAGGCTGTGTTCAGCGAATGGTCGGATTAGTTCGGTCAAACTTCTTTAGTCAAACAATTCGCTGAACGGCCTTTAGTAACTGTATTAAAACCTGCCCAATATTCCCAATCAGCAGATTGGGCTGACCAACGAAATATTTGTCCGCTGAACGACTTTGACCGGTCCGACCAATCGCTGAACACAGCAAGTTTATTTAATTTTGGCAAAGTATTGAGTTTTTTATTTCATGTACTACTTAGAGTTGTACTAAATAGTATAAGTTAAACTGATTGGGTTATATTTCGGCTGATTTTTTATTATTTTTTTCAATAGATAATAAGTGATACTGTAAATTAGCAAACGCATTCGATCATGCTTTTATATTGATCATGATCGATCAATACAATTTTTTTTAAGTTTATTCAATTTAACTTACGAAACGTGAAGATGTTATACTGACTTACCTTAACTGAATCCCTAAAGAATTTTTGGTTTCTGTTATTCGTTAAAAGTTAAAACTTTATTACTTTAATCTTGTTTTTGCATTTTTTATAGATTCTCTTAATCTAAATTTGTAACAAAAATTTGTTTGTAAAATTAAATGTAATCCCTAATTTAAAAATTTATATTACGCAATGTACGTTAACGTAAAGACCAGTGTAGTGTCTAAATATTTTTGGAATATCAAATATTTCTTCACTCCAGTGAGCAAAAATGAATTTGTTGTTAAAAGTTGGTTTCAATACTGTCAATGTAAATACACTCTGTTTTTGACAGCTCAGGTTTGCTTTTGTTGCGTCAAAAGAGAGAAAATATAACGAAAACGATTATTGTTACCTTCAAATTTGTAACTTTATTTTCTCTGTTTTTGTTTATAATATTTTTTTTGTATAGTTATCATAATATTCCTTCTGTAAATATTTTTATTATTTTTTCTTTGTAAAGTAGTAATTTGTACAAACAATGGAGGGACCTTTTTCTCGCAATTTTATTAGTATAGTTAATTTGAGATTTAATTATAGTTAAATATTTAAGGTTTATGTTTGTTTCATGTTAAATAAATTATTGGTATGAATTTGTGTGAGTATTTATCTTATATAAAGAAATGATGGTACAAAAACTAAAATATAAATGTTATTTTTAGTTTTCATAATTTATTTCTTTAGTCTAAGGAAATGATACTGTACACGATATATACGTAAAATTCCGTACTTTAGAAGTTCTCTTTGATTTGGGGGTTGTGCCAAATTTTATGAAAAGTTTAGGATAAGCGTGATCTCATAATTGTTGATATCGAAGATGCCTTAACTCTTTTTGGACAACAATATGGAAAATTATATTTTACTAGAACGTATTTAGATGTTGCCTAAAGGATAAGCTTACAAGATTGTAGTTTATGTGATTGAGTAATGTAAATAAACAATAAAACAGTAGTGTGTGTTTTTTTCGTTTTACTACCTAATTTAAATTCAACGTTTATTTAAATTATATCCCAATGAAAAGATTTAAGTTTGGAAAACCGGATTATAAACATACAAATTAAATATATAAATATTTGAATAACGATTGTTTTTATTTATTGCAGATTTATAAATACAATAATTAAAAGTGGGTTTTTTGTTGTGATTATAAAATTTCCCTTACGATTTAAAGAATCAACAAATGTGGCAATTGTGGTAAAATTAAGAACAGAACATATAAATTTAGTAATTATTGTATATTAATTATAAAACACTAATAACACTATTTTAGAGGCATGCCAAATGCCACAAACTTTTTATTTCAATTTAATTTAATTAGTGCAATTTGAAAGTACTAAGATTGAAAATATAAAAAGGTACATTTCTTTGTAAATTTAGGAGAAATTGTCGTTATCCAGAATTTTCAGCTTATGCTCAAACTCTCAAAAATGTTACTATTTCCTTGATTTTACATGGGAAAGTCACTAAGAGGAATAATTCCAAGGGTAGTAAATATTGACTATGAAATGTACAAAAACTAAATTCTGTACATTGTTCGAAATTCAATATATTCAATTAAACACGATTAGATGTGTGTATTGTAGTCATTCTGAATTCTGAAATTGCATTAGGTATTATAATTAAATATTTTGTAAAAGATAGAAAACAGTTTCATTCACGTTATTCAACTCATACACCTAAATTCAATATAATTTAATACATGATGAAAGTATGTATATTTATGAAACAAAGTACATAATATTAAATTTAATTTTGTTGTAATAACATTTTTTAGAAAAAATTTATTGTAACGATTTATCTCTAATATAGTGCGTACGATATTTGTTGAGATTGAATTCCAAGAAGACCCCTGCGTCATTTTCTTTGAATTAACTGTATTCGACACCTGAGATAAAAAGACATTGGCGGCGTGACGTTCAGGGTAGCAGCTTGCAGTGCATACTGTGATTTGTAGGTAAGGTCTGTAGTAGGTTACTTAAATACGTGTTTCATTGTTTATTCCTTTGTTGTCCTCCAGCGTGTTTATAATGGTATTATCTTCTAGTTTATTTATGATTTGTACTTTACTGTACTGTAAAAGAAAAAAAACACATTTTAATCCAAAAAATCTACCTTATACATATATATGTATATATATTAGTATTCTGAAAATAATGCGGAAAATTTCAAGGCACGCTCCTGTTGTGGTAAATTGTTACAGTAGTTCCGATAACAGAACTTTATTGGCTTATTATTTTCTTGGAATTCTATCTCAAAAGTACTCGTGGTTCTTTGTATAAATCTTGTTCCTAGAGTAATAAAAAATTCCAAAACAGTTTCCAACAGTCAGGCGCATGAGCATTTCGATATAACGCTTACATAAGGTTCAAAATTCATTGTTTCCAATCAAATGCGACTGCGTCTGTTGGAAGTAGGCTATACTAAACTAATAATGATCATGACATCACTTTCTGATGAATAATTACCAAATTTTGTTCCTGTTTTGCAATTGTCAGTCCTCATAAGCAATATTGTCTTGAAAACAACAAAACATCACATACTCATTTTCTCCAAATAACCACATTTGTACTTTATTAATAATTCATATTTCATATCAGAGAGTAATAACACTATATTTGTATATCTTACAGAGTTTCTGAGGTAGCTTTGAATTATGTACCTACTTACCATTAGATGTTTATCATCATAACATTACTCTAGACACTACAAACTAACAGTTCGTACGACTGCAATATAAGGTAAGTATTTAAACATTTATATGATAATGTTAGATTATGTCCTTCAAGTTACTTTAAACCTAAGTGTGATCATTGCAGGTTAGATTCTGATGTTAAAATAAAGATTGGCAGAAACATTAATAAAAATATGAATGTTAATATTGATACATCAATCATATCACTAATATTCAATCAATTAGTCAATCAATCAATGGATCAATTAATCAATCAATCAGTATTTGACGTGTCCTGATTTTAAAATATTTTTAATTCACTCACCAAGAAAGTATTCGTCATTTCTTGATTACCAAATATACAACCGTAATAAGGGCGAGTAAAATGACTGGTAGTTAGGTTTAGGTATTCTTCAAGGAGTGAATTGTAGGTATCATTCATATTTTGGCTCATTAATATTTAATTTTTAAAAATCGTTAGTTAGGTTGAATGTATTGAAAAAACAAAAGAAAAATATATTTTTTGACAATACCTAAAAGAAGTAAGGTTCTAGTTTAATTTACAAAAAAAATATGAGAAACACTTTTTATTTCAAAATTTCTAACTAAATTAATATTTTTGTATTTTTTACGTCTCATTAATCCATCACTTTATTTAATTAATACTAAAAAAGTAAAGGAATTTTGAAGTTCTGGTTCGAAAATTTACAAACAAATCTGAGAAACATTTTTTTTCAAAATTTCTAACTAAATTAATGTTTTTGTGTTTTTTACGTCTCAATGATCAGTTTCCATCTCATTAGTTAATTAAGGTTAATATCTTCGTCCTGTTTTTTTTTGTAAGATTCAAACGTTTTGAGCCAAATAAATAACTAAATGTGAAGGGGTATTCACTAAAATTCTACACTTACTTATTATCTTTTAGCCATCTATCTGGAACAAACATGATAAAGACTGCAGTTTTGTTTTTATTGAATACATTGAAAAATTGACGTTCGCGAGAATGATTTTCATTTAGATTTGATAAGAAATAGAAATATTAATTCGGCTCGTGGACTTAGTGATAGGTACAGATACTTACGAACGTACACTTTGTCTTTTAACTTTCCATTTTTTTCTACATCTATCACCCTGTAGAGAAGGCACAGGTCTCTCACAATTTAAAAAATCCTTTTTGTCCTCAATTTTCCATCTGGAAAATGGCGTTTCCAATAAAATACATACTGGATCATACATAGGAAACATTTCTACAATTATCGATACAAAACAAATATTAACAATGAACCGTTACAATCGTGCACTGGGCGACGGCGACGTATCGAGACAGGCGATGGACGATGGCGACGCCGCTTCAATTTCCGCGTCACTCCGTTCCCCACGCCGTAGTTTACTCACGTGTTGGCCGCCTCGTTGCCATGACAACCGTAAACAACGTTACGAAGTGAAGTGGAATCCAAACTGATTTCGATCCGCGTCACTTACTTTTATGATATACGTTGTATGGTACAAGGTTGATGTTTGCGCTTAGCTAAGACAATTTTTTAGCAGGCGTTCACCGCGCAACTATTCTGTATATTTCTGCGTATAAAACAAACAAACACAACGCATTTTCAATATAGAATTATACCTAAATTATAAATTTTTTATAAAATTAAAAATAATTTTATTTTGCACAACCAAACGAAAATTTTAGGTGCTTCACTTGCGTCACCTGGCGAGCCGCCACTGTTCTGAAGAAAGGACCAAAACCTTTTATGGTCATTTTTAATATTGGCTTGGCAGTCATCAAGATAATTATTGTCAGCAAAATTTAGTTGATTTTTTATTAAGCGTCTCAAACGTCTAAACTCATTTAAGTGAAAGTTGTTACGAGTTGTTTTAAATTAATTGTGATGATAGCCTTTAACTTTTATATTGTTTATGATTTCGGTTGTGTATTATAAATATCTTGGTAAAATGCATCACATGTAGAGTTAACGTCAGTGAAGTCGTTTAGAAAGTCCCAATTTTTATGCATTATAAAGGTTCATAAAATTCGCTCTTTTAAGCCAACTTCAATCAAACTTTAACTGTGTAATATGTTATAGTGACTATTGTGTAACAGGGAAGAATTATTTAGTTTCTTAGGCAAAATTAAACTTATAAAATCAACCTTTTGACTGATTCTTTTGGCGTAAGGGGTTATTGACTTAATTAAAGAGAAGGGATAACAGAAAATGCAACAAATAAATAACATTATAAATTACTTTGGATACAAAAATCTTTAATTAGAACTAATTTGAATATATTAGGCCTATTTCTATACAAATTAGAGAGATCAATCTTAACCTACTACAATCTGGAATTGTGGAACATCATAAAATGGATGGACCTAAAAAAGTAAAACTCACTAAAGTGTAAGTTAGAATATTTTCAATATGGACGGCAGTAAAAATACTTTAGAAATAGTATCATCCAATTTGAAAAGAACATTACTTGACTTATTGCATAAAAATGGATATTTTTAAACCAATCCATCAATCTAATACAAGTTGATTCAGTAATAATGTCAGTAATTTTAAGGGAAGAAGATAGGGAAAAATGAGTAGAATACGAATATGTGATTAAAAAAATATTAAAACGCATCATAAAACAATATTTTCAAATAATTATTTAAACCCTTTTCGCACCGCTCCTGTCCGCTAAGTGAATCTTGACCTACCGTATCCGGTCACTAACCTAGCTTTTATTTTGTTCTTAATAGTGAACGACAAAAACAGACCTTTTTATGTAGACACATGAATGAATAAGATATTTTTTTACATTTTAAAGATTAACAATTATTATTTATTTGTTAATTAAAACAAATGTATGTTTTTAGTATTATTTTCAATTAATTATCATCTCAACTGTCCATTACTTTGTTAAGTTGAGATTCACTGCACTATGATTTTGAAACCAATCGTAAGACGACTGGGAAATTAGTGTTCTCTGTGGCGCGCCGACGCGTTCCCAGTCACTAAATATAATGCAAAGTAGGGCGCCGAGTTAATAGGAACAGGAGTTAATGGGTATTCTTTTTATTTTTTTAAAGGTCGAGGAAAATTAATTTTTCGATTTTCTGTCTTTATTAAGTCTTCCGAAATAAATGACATTATGAGTGAATCACCCTGTATATTTGAACGTTAATAGTGAAAAATGCTAGGGTGGGGCATTATTTAAAGTTCCCCATAGTTACACCACTGTTAATGAGTTCAGCGACTTGTTCCAAAATTGATAAAAAATCGTCTATG